AGTAGGCAGGTGGCTGCTTTCTAGATGAGGACTGTGCTGGGGACAGGCGTGGATGTGCTGATGTGATCAGAGCCTTCCCTGTTCTCTACTCCTTAGTGACTCTGCAATTAGACTTCTGTTCAGGCCAGCAAATATTAGCTACTGAACTGTTGGCACAAAACTGAGAGACATAGGGCTGGAGAGAGAGCTCAACAGTCTTAAGTGTCTGCCTGGCAAGTGCATGGACCGGGGTTCGATCCCTGGTACCCCATGTTGAACCGGCCACTGAAGCTGGGCATGGTGATGCACGCCTGTAATCTCAGTGCTGGGGAGACATGAAACTGTTTTGGTGATAGGTTAATGTGAGAGACAAGTTTTAAAGCATAATACAATGTCATGTGAGTTAAATGTGTGGGCTCTGAGGTCAAATTGCTGAGGTTTCCATCCCTCCTCCCTCTCCCCTGTTTTCAAGCTGTGTGAAATGAGAAAAAAAGTGTATAGGAGATATTCGCTGAAAAATTTCCAAGCTTGATCAAAAGCAACATCTCACTAGATGAAGGAAACCCAGCAACTCCGAAAAGGCTGGAGACAACGGTAGAACTGGCTTGTACAGTGGTCACCTTATTGCCATAAGTCCCTGTAGATTCCAGTCTGCACTCTTATCCCTAGCCTCAGTTTTTCCCATTTATGGGTATCCCTTTACAAGTGCACCAATTAGGGATGCCTTATTTGGCAAAAGTTATCTTTTGATTGGGAAGAAGTGAAAATCTGAGAAATGAACCTTGAGAAATATGCTATAGTGAAACTGGACAGCAGAGGTGAGGGGAGTGGGTGGAGAAGCCGAAGAGTTGGAGGCATACAGAGTGGCTACTTGCAGAGTTAGGACCAGTTGAGCTGAGGAAATTTTTTGACACAAAGGCAAACTTTGTTTAAAATATTGACCCAGGGCAGTACTTCCATCCAGGAAAAGACCAGGGACTGTCTCTTTCCTATTTTCGCTCTGCCTGGATCACAAGGCTATCTTGTCCAAGACCTGGCACCAGGGTTGTTATACTTTAAATGACACAGCTCAGCTCTGTTAAATGGGTTTCCTGTGAGTAACTTAGAAAGAAAATCATCTCTCCCTAAGCACTTTGAGGTATTAACCATTCAGATGTTGGAGTTTTTGCTGTGTTTTTATTCTCACGTTCACTCATTATTAGAAAATACCAGTAGATGGGGTAGGGGAGATGGCTCAGTGGAATAAGCACTTGCCTGGCAAGCTCAGGGGCCTGAGTTCAATCCCTGGTTCCGAAAAAAAAGAAAGAAAGAAAGAAAGAAAGAAAGAAAGAAAGAAAGAAAGAAAGAAAGAAAGAAAGAAAGAAAGAAAGAGAGAAAATATCAGTAGCTTAATTCCCAAGTAGATCTTTGATTTTTCCAAATTTCCCTTTCCAAATGGTCAAGAGTCATTAAATCTGAAGAGACTGATCCTTCGTGGGTCTACTGCCCATGAACACCTTATGGGCCACACTCAGCCTCTTCTGAGCTTTGCCAGTGGGCAGTCTGCTACAGCATTACATTTATAATGAACAGAGTTGACTTTAAAAGGAATCAAGTAGAGGGTGATAGGTGCTGGGTGCATTTATAATCCCTGCAAGAGAAAGAAACCAGAGTTGACAGGAGAAAAAGAGGCAGATCTGTAAATGATTCCTAGGATGAAGACAGACCTTGAGTTGTTTTCCAAAATGGTAAAAATCTGTATCTTCTTTTCCACTTCTATACCTTGTCTTTTCTGAATCAGTGACAGCCACCAACCAATCCCAGCCCCTCTCTGCTATAATCTCAGGATAAAAAGCTAAAAATATTGCCCAGGCATCATTTTTACCCCACCCAGATCTATTTTGACTAGCACTGCCTGCAACTGTTTACATGGAGCGAACAGGGAGTTGGCCTACTGTTCCTGACATGCATTTTAATAAGCCACCTGACGAGATCAACACGAAGGAGAGACACATTGTGAACAGGTGTGAGGAAGCCAGAGCAAGGCGGGTCCTGTGTCTCCCCCATCTTGCTCCCAGGACTCTGGCTTGGACGCACCTCCTTGCCTCCTTCAGGCTCTGAGAAAGGACGTATCGGGTCCCAGTTAATCCCCCTGTGCCTCTAGTGCAAGGAAACCTGTCACAACCCAAATGCTGCCTTCCTCCCTCACAGGAGCTTGTTGAGGAGGACTGTGCCCGGCTGCATTGCCATGGAAATGTGTGACACGTTTGTTGATGAGTTGCCTGTCTCCAGATGGACAGCTTCATTCCCAGCACCAGCCTTTGACAGACCATTTTTAAGTATTTGCTTTGCACAAATTGCAGCTTGTCTGGGGGTCTTGCTTGCTTTTTTGTTTTACACCATGGTGGATCTTGTGCAGTGTGTTGTGTAAGTAGTAATGATAGGCCCAGCTTTGTAGTGTCGGCTGTTTGTTTTTCCGTTCTTTGTATGCAGTCAGCCTGTGCTCATCTATCACCGCGTGCCTTGGCCGGCCAGCCACGGCTGTTAATGACATGTTCAAACCTATCTGCCTTTTAAATTGGTGAGGATTCTATCTTGACTTTAAAAAAAAAAAGAAAAAGAAATAAAGCCTGTGTTTGGAATAATGCTGCTTTGAAAGTCACATTACCAGGAGCTTTTCCATTTCATCGGCGAAAAATATTAATAGTTTGTCCACTATTTTCAGTTGTGTTCCCTGGAAGGATAAGAAGATGAAGACAGAGTATTGTCAGGGTACTCTGAGGGCATCTACACCAGCCTGTGGGGTGGTGGGCAGGGTAGGGCAGTGGGCCAGGGTGGTGGGCCCTCTCCAGAGGACAGAGACCTCTTGCTATGTCGGGTACAGAGGGTCATCTGGGTCTTTCAGGAAGATTCTACTCGGGCCCCAAAATTTTCTTTCCCATCCTTTCATGTGTGGGTCCTATTGACAGAGAATCCTCTGGAATTGTGATATAGCTATATATCATGTATGTATGACATAAGAGCTGTATATGTATCTTATATGTACTAGAGATAACATGTATATTCCTTCTATTTAAATAATCAGAGATTCAGCAGAAACGACTAGGATCACAGTTATTAAATGTTAGAAATTATCTCATAGAGCCATGATTTGCAAGTATTAATATCATAAATTGAAATTGGGAGGCCAACTTTTAAGTTTTTCTTTTTCATATTTATTTTTATTATCTGTAAGTTGTGTTGGAGGCATAATTTATCTTTTTAACTAACAGTTTTCTTGCTTCTGAGTAAATAATCCTTAATTAAATGTTTTGATAATATTAATTTACTTTCATTTTTCTCTTCTGAATACCAAATTGAATTGTGGAAAATCTTTATATTGTAATTGTGGATCAGAATCCATTGATTAATTTAATACATTTAGGACTTTGAATTCCTAAAGGGCTTACTACTGTAATCTCATGCCAGTCTATCAATTTTCTTTTAGAAAAAAAAAAGCAGAATTAATACCTACTTTGAATTACCAGGTAGAAAAAAATAATTGGCTTGTCCTTGAACAAATCTTGGAGTCTTTTTATGCAGAGATATGCAAATGTATTGCCTTCATAAAAATGATAATTTTGAAAAACCTTTGGACAGCATAATTACATGGATAATTGCTACTACAACAAGTATCTTAGGGAGTAGTGTGTTAAGGAGTGGTGGGAAGAAACCTGAAACTATATTAGAAAGTGATATTATATATACTAAAACAAGATCTATTAGAATATAGTCATTGAACCTAGTTAATCAAACATAATAAGAAAATAATTACAACTTCTTAAAAGGAAATACGGACTTTCTTAGTGATAGACAGCTGTCCTTTGTAGTTAGTGCCATACCAAGTGCTAGGCAAGCATGAGAGTTTTGGTGGATGAAATTTTCTAATTCTGTGCTCTTTGCATTCGTCCCACAAATTGAATTAAGAATGACTCAAATACACACCTTTTTGTTTTATCTTATTTTGTTTTTTGAAACAGTCTCAGTATGTAGCCCAGGCTAGCCTCAGACTCACAACAGTCCTCTCGCCAGCAGAGAGCTGCGTTTAAAGGCAGGCACCACCATGCCCTTCTTCACATCAGTTTTTGAACTTAGTCTACCCACGTGATTTCCTCTTGACTGGAATCTGAAGAAAATGTCATCATCATTATCATCACCAAGCTTCTATCCTGGAGAAGCGCTTTAGCTGCAAATTTTCCTGAGTTTATCCAGTGATGGGCGTTGATAGTGGGATTTGTGTCCCTTTTTTTTTTTTTTTTTTTTTTTTGGCTGTTGGAAAGTCTGGGTCTCATCCATGATCTTGAAAGATGTACTTACTTATTAGATGAGTAGATATTAGACTGAGTATCAATGTGGCTTTGTGAGAAATTGAAGTATTTATGTAAATAAGTAATAAATATATGCAGTGATTATAGAATGCTCAAATTTAGCATAAAGCTCATAAAAAGAAAATTTTCATTACCCTTTTGCTTATACTTATTGGTGGATCAGAAGTCTTTATCATAAATAGTACTTTGTTTTTCAAAAAGAGAAAATGAAACTACAAAGACAACAACGTGCAATGTATTAACTATTGCAACTGTCCTACTAACCTGTTTTGAAACTATCTCATTGCTATTTGTTTCTCAGTAAAATCAATTTTAAAAAAGAAAACATGAAGACATATACATACTTAGGCCATTGTGTGATGGGTTCTGTGTGCATGTATCCCAAGGGGTCTTTAGACACAGCGTAATTTGTTTTCTGTGAGAAAGAACCTGGCAGAGAGGCCTTCACTGCCTCCATCTGGGGCACTGAGCTGCTTCCGGTAGACAGCAGCATGTACCTGCTGGAAGGAGCCAAGGTGTGAGGCTCAGCTTGTCCCTCGCTGTTCCACATGAACCACAGATGAAGGCCTCATGGGAAGGGCTCTAACAAATTGTGCTACTTGGCTCTTATAACTGAGACATTTCTGCTATTGTGGAAAAACATTTTAAGATGTGTTTTCTTTTTCTGGCACTCAGATGAGTATAGGATCAAACCAGTGGAAGAGGTCAAATACATGAAAAATGGGGCTGAAGAGGAGCAGAAAATAGCAGCCAGGAACCAAGAAAACTTGGTAAGAAGTGAATTTCTCATTTAACAATAAATTTTGGTGACACCATTGTAGTAAAACCTGTACTGCATGTTTAAGCAGCAACTTACCCACTGGCACAAGATTTCTTGAAAATGCTCCACTATTTATAGCTTGCCTGGAAGCTGCACCATTACTCCTATATCCTGTTTGTTTCTGAATAAGCTGTTCTTTCATCTAGATAGAGAATGCTCCAGGGAAAGTACAGCCACATTATTAATGTTTTAAGATACCTAAATGTGGGGGGAGGGTAAGCATGACGTAGGATTGAGATTGGAAACGTTTTTCTGTTTCCACCTCTGTTAACTCTTATCCAGGTCAGGATGAATGGAAAAGTTTGATTATTCTAGGCATGCAGTGTTGAGGGAGTTGCCTTTCAAAGGAAAATAATGTACTTTCAAGGTAGGTCTCTATCTAAAGAGTACTTTGCATTCACGATGTTAAAGGTATTGTAGCTTTTGACTTACTGTGAGATCTATAATATGAAATGCAGTAATATGAAATAGGAAGTTAAGAAACTTTTAGAATATGAATCACTATACACATTACATTTCATTATCATTTGTATAGAAATATCTACCTAATTTGCATATTAGGAGGTTTCTTAAAAGAGGTTACAAATTCTTAAAAATTTGCATTTATTCAGTTGTATTGGAGCAGAATGATCTTTATATTTAGTATACAGTATATTCTTTGATTGTTGTGTCTCATGACTGAGTAAATATGTTTTTAAGAAGTCTATAGTATTACCATATTTTCATTGCAAAGTCTCCTTTTCCCTCTTACATGCTTTGGTTTTGCTTTAATGATTTTTGCTATTACAGAGGGATTCAACAGAATATTAACCAGTGCTTATGAGTATTTTAGGCCATCATTTTCTATAATGTTGTTGATGAAAATCAGTCTAATCCTTTGCTTTATTCAGAATAGTGAAGTATCAACTACTGAATATTTTTAATTAGTTTTTAAAAATGAAAACACTCTAGATAATGAAATATTACTACGTGAATCAGATTTTCTTTCTTTTTTTTTTTCCCCTGAACCGGGGATTGAACTTAGGCCCTTGCGCTTGCCAGGGAAGCGCTTATTCTACTGAGCCATCTCCCCAGCCCAAAATAGACAATACTGCTAAAG